TTCAGAGAGAGAATCTCACACGGGGCTTCCTCTGGTCGGACGGCAATAAAAAAAAAAGTATATTTTGAGTCAGAAAGTCAAGAAAAAGCCCCTTACCTCAGATCTCAAAGATGAAGGATGTGAGCTTCCATCTCTGATGGTTCTGATCATGAGATTTTATGGGACCAGAGGAGCTCCCATCCTCTCTATAAACCCCCGCAGTGATCACATTCCTCCTCTTCATCTGGTTTCCAGGCCATCACCATTGAAGCAGAGACTCGCGCCGACGGAAGCAGGAGGACGACTCGCTACGACATCGACATGACCAAGTGCATCTACTGTGGGTTCTGTCAGGAGGCGTGTCCTGTGGATGCCATCGTGGAGGTGTGTACATCTACTTCCCTTATCCATCTCTGTTCAGTCTGTATCAGCTGCACCACAGCAGCCTGTAGGCTTGTTGGATGGATCCCAGACGTGAGCAGGAACCCTGGTAGAGCTGCAGCTAATGCTACGTTCAGACCGCACGCTGCTGAAGCAGCAGGTTTACAAAGTCAATGGTTGACGCGCAGCAAAAGGTTCTGCAGCGAGTTTTGAGCAGCAGGAGCAGCGCCTCATGAGCTTCTGAGCATCTGAGGCACTGCTCAAGCAGCAGATGCTGGAGATGGAAAAATTTAACTTTTGCTGCTGGACCCGCCACATCAACCAATCAGAGAAGCTGATCTGGGAGCTGGCAGGCAGACAGACACAGCACTGCTGATGCAGAGTGCTATGATCACTCCTCTGAAACAGTTTATTAACGCCTAAATGAACTTAAAATGTAGAAACCTGCCAGCAGAATGTGTTCGATGTTATTATCCTAGTGCCTGCAGTTTGGATTACGGATCTGAATTGCTTTCAACCGAGTACGAGTATTAAGGCTGGACAATGTGGCCTAAACGTTTTTATTTTGGTTGATACAATATCATCAGCAATATGAACCAAAAATACATTATAACATCAAATAAAAGCCTCAGAAAGACTGCCAGGAATTCCATCAACAGATGCCTGAACTAAGTTATTAAAATTATCATTTTTATTAGGTTAATTTAACAATTATTTAGCAAATTGATTAATATGTTGATCATTTTTTTCCAATTCGATTAATTATCAGATAGCAAAAGGTTAATTAAAGAAGACTTTTCACGAAATTAAAGGTGAATTACCAGGTGAACTAAGACTTTTCCACTTGAGGAGTTCTGGATAAAGCATATTGACAGAGAATTTTAGAATTCCTGCTCCAAGTGGGTCGCTCTGTCAGCTAAAGGCATGTTTTAGAGTCTCTATACTCCAGTTAACAATTAATCGATTGCTAAAATATTTGACGATTATTTCAATAATCGATTATTTAGATTAATTGTTTCAGCGCTGTTGTAAATGCAGTCGGTATCTTTATTTATCACGATAAAACAGTGTTGTTCAGAGCTACTATACTGTCCCACACACCATGACTAAACAAGGAATTCTTTTTCCCAGCAGAGGAGTGAAAAGAAAGAGGAAAAGTACAAGATTTAGTAAGAAAATGTGCAAATACTATTAAAGGCTTAACCTCTTAAGCTGTGACGGTCTTAGGAGAAAATTCTGCCAGAAATGTCATATGTGGATTAAAGCAAGTACGGCTCACAAACTATAAATTGGAAATATAATTGGTTGTATTTGTGTGACAGAAAGGCATTGAGGAATATTTTTACAGGTGGAATCACTATTTTAAATGTAACCATATATGATTTATAGGTGATTAAACTAATAAAGAATGAAAAATATTTAGCCTCACCAATTTGCTTTCCAAAATAAACCTGTAAAAAAACCATGAAAGCCCATTTCAAACCCTGGGTGAACCATCGGACTTTATAGATCCACATCTTGACTCTAAATCAATGTGGGCTGAATAAATTTAAGCATGTTTGTTTCACAAAGGTTTTAGTGGGCAGTGTGCTAGGCGGAAGAGCACTTTTGCACATTGACAAAAGTGAAAAAATGCATTTTTTCACTCATAAAAGGAAACCTGGTCAGACAAATACGTTGATTTATATTATTAGAGACTTTCTGCATAAGACAAAGCCTTTGCTCCTCAGATTTAGCCGTTGTTTCATTGAAATTTACCAATAATATCACCAAACTGAATAGAAAATGAGAATAACAGGAAGCTAATGTAACACATGCCGGTTACATCATCTGAAATGGTCGCGCAATGACGTCCGACCCCCCTTGGAAAGTCTGAGCCTTTCCAAGGCTAAAATGAGGCTAAAAATGAACGCCTGCTGATGCATTTCTCCCGCAGAGCCACACATGTCAAGTGGAATTTTAAATCTCATTTTATTTGTTTGCACAGCTATAAAACAAAAAGTACTCATAAAGAAATGGTTAAAATGTTTTAAAGCCCCCTTTGAAAGACGTGGATGAAACACCGTGTGACTGTGGTTTGGACATTTCTATAAATAGATAAACATGAGCAGGTGTCAGTTGGGCCCTGTACCCGACCCGCCGGGCTTAACGGGTTAAAAGGAAAGTAGCGCTCTGAATACATAATGAACCTGGATGTTCACTGAGGAGGGAACTAAACCTGCCAGCAGATGGCGATGCTGAGCTCACCCAGTGCAGCTGCTCTTTCAGGCTCGGTTTCATGATTATTGTTACATGAGCACCTGGTTTTTAGTATTTTAGGTGACACGGATGCTTTAAGGTAAAATAACAGCTAAAAAATGTTCATCAAACCTCTAAACTCCAAACTGTTCACAGCTTTTCTGCATAATTTAAATTTTCTTTAAGATGCTCAGATGGTCTCTGAAACCAGAGAGATAACAGGTTAAAAGACTCTGTCAAAATGAATGGATGGCTGACGGATCTTTAATAGTCCAGGTTGAGTGTTTAGCAACAGGGACCCACCACTAGCTAAGAAGTGTAATTACCCTGAGTGGAGAGCAGTTTGGTAAACGTTCCTTTTAACCCAAATCTCCTCCTTTTCTCAGGGTCCGAACTTTGAGTTTTCCACTGAAACCCACGAAGAGCTGCTCTACAACAAAGAGAAGCTGCTGAACAACGGAGATAAATGGGAGGCTGAGATCGCCGCCAACATACAAGCCGATTACCTCTATCGATAGACGCGGCACGCCGCCTATGTTCCAGGGGGAGACTTTAAAACGTGACACATGTTGTTTCTGTACATACTGTAAGAATACACTCTCAGCTATGGTCTATGTGCTTCAGGATGGATTCAGGTTTGTTGAAAGGAGCTTTTGTTAACAAGATAAGCCTTATTAAACCATCGACCTTTAAATTTTAGTTTCATTTTGTCATCTTGAATCTGTCTCTGTATCAGACTACTTTACTCAGTGTGATTTGGAGGCTCATGAACCTGTTCCTGGGGAATCATGAGACGTGTCGTTCCTGCATTTAAATTTAGATTGTTTTAATGTGATTAATGTAATTGCAGCAGTCATGATGCTCTGAAGTTCGTCAAGGTACAGTGGTATCAATCAGTGTTGTGGAGAAACATCTGCTGACTGGACAGAAGGATTCTTCATTTCTTCACTTTCAAAAGTCATTATTGGATCTAAATGCCAAGAAAAAATGTTGAACTTGCTGCTCGATAGATTTCACTAAAGGGTCTTCAAACTGTTTTCACCTTGAAGCAAATAAACTTTGAATAAAAACAATAAATGAGATCTTTCATTGTGTTTGGAAATAAAGTATTTTAATGTTGAGAACATAAATGTAATTGTTGAAGAATGTGGGACTTTGTGCCCCTCTAACACTGCTTGTCTGGTTTGTACCTTAAAAACATTAGCTACATTGATGAGTGGCAAATCTGGTGGAATCTGACCAATTTATTGGTCCTCATAGAGGCTTGGTAGCCCAGGGTCCAGACCAGGAGGCAGAGTCATAACTCAACACAGCTTCCTTTCTGTTACCCACACATGAACACATTCTTACCAAATCAGACCTCTACTTTTAAAAGGGCAAATCATGAAAACTTGTAAAGCGCTTAAAATTCCAACTGAACATCAAGTAAAAAATAAATAAATGTAGATTTCACATTAAAATAACTTCAAAGAATTTGTTGATCAAAGACTTCATTGAAAAAATGGAAATCTAAATAACTGCATTTTTTTTATTGAGGTAAATGAGACACTTTGCAAATAGAAAAATGTAAACTTAAAAGAAGGAAAAACAGAAACAGTTGTCTTATTTCAAGTGCATATCTAATTTTTAAGATTAAGAAATCAAATTCCATTGGCAGATCATCTTATTTCAATCTGGAAAACTCACACAGAGAAAAGACAATTAGGAGAAATTTATTGATACAATTAATTAGTCCTTGGCGCTCAGACCCCCCAGGCCTGAAACTGGTGGT